AGACTACATTCCTCCTAACGAGAGGAAAGAAAGAATTAAATAATGGGCCACTGCTGTGTTGGCCAAAGGCCAACTACCCTCTGTAACTCCTGCCAAGGTTGTGCTAGGCTGTGGTATTGCAAGACACTCATATTGAATATTAGAATCAAATTATCCATGAAAAGTACCATAATGAATCTAGCTCTGATGATATAGTATCAGAAGACTGAACAAAACTTCCTGAAGCTTGTCATCTCTTGAACCATATCATGGAAATACCTATTAGCATATTGGTGCTTGGGGAAGAGTAAAGCTAAAGGCAAGGACCAAACTATTAAATTAAGCAATGATTTAAAGCATGTACAGAGGACATTTATGCCATGGACTGATACCCCAAATAGTCCAAAAATAAAAGTGGTTGTTTAATGTTGAGTTGCTTTATTTAGAGAATTCTTCTTGCTAGATTGTATTCCACTTTTCTTCCAAGTGTATGTTTCTTTTCTAATAATCTTTTACCTTCTACATCATCCCCATGACATAGTTTAGAATAAGAGGTAATGAATGGCCAGGATCATTCCATAAATTTCATGGGCAGGTTGAGATTTAGTCCTAGGTCTCCCTAGGCTCAATCTGACACTTGAACCCTATACCACAATAGTTCTGGTCACTAAATTGCCATTTTCAATGTGACAGAGAGGGAAATGATGAATTATATGGCTGGGAAGTAGCAATATCAACTGTATTGAATTTTATTAAATAGAAATGTACATGAAATAACATTTAGTTTTTTTCTTGGTCCCATCCTCTATATATGACACTTGTCTGCAGGAATACTCATTTGAAAATTTGCAAAGAAAAACACTTAGCAATTGGGCTGGTTGGGAGTGTGGATTGGTGTAGCTCTGCCCCATTGGATGCAGTAGGTTTTCCCCATGATGCATCATGTGCACCATTGTGGCTATATGAATGAATAGACCGTAACAACTCAAAGAACTTACTTTTGAGTCCCATCTCTGTGAATTATGGATTAATATTTTGGATGTTAAAGTGGCTGCATCCATACTTACAATCCCTATTGTGACTGTTTACTAAGGCATTGCCTTTGCCATATAACCAAGATGCTCTGCTTTTTTGAACTGGGTTCTCATCTTCATGAAAAATTTTCTCCACCTGGGCATGTATTGTTTAAATTGCAATATTGTTTCCTTTTGCTTCTTTCCAGAACTGATCTGGATCTAGAACTGATCTCAAAGCCTCAAAGCAAGTCAACCAGATCATTTTCTCTAGATTTGACTAAATGGAGGAGAGTTTCAGTTAATAACATTCAAGAAGCTTTGTCAGATCAGGAAGAGGGAAAACAGGAGAGTTAGTGATCTGAACCAGCAGCAGATGTTAGAGGAGGATGCTGATCCAATTATTACCTAGCACTGCAAGTACTGGAAAAATGTTCTGGAGCCAGCAGCGACACAGCCCTTCTGGGTGGCCTGCCCATCATTTTGTGCTGCCTGTCATTCCGCAGAAGGCACTTTGGGTCATAATGACACTTGAGAAAAAGAGGGGGGAAAGACACTCACTTGAAAGCTTTCTCACAAGTTTTCTCTTAAGATAAAGATGGGTGTGTATCCAGGGTCAATCCAATTCAGCTTTTCTTTGCACCATAGTACAGTAGCTAGTATGTTACGTGTACCATCATTGTTCTGATTTATGTGTGCTGTTGCACCACATGGAGAAGATACATTTCGAGGACACGCAATCCAAGTGTTTTAATTTGGATTTGGGTTTGTTCTCCATCCAGTATGCGCTTTAACTACAGTTTCCACAGCCCAGCAGTTCCTGCAGTTTCCCCAGGGATGGGGTTCTCTAGATCAATTTCCTTTATGCCTAACTAGCATGGCCAATATTGTCTACTGCAGGGGAGGGGAACTCTGATGTTGGACCTTCTCCACTGAACTGAGCTGGCATGGCAGGGACCAAGGGAATATGGATTATAGGCTAAAACTACTCTTTAGAATCTTCAGCAGATACTTTTCTCCTTTAGCCATGAACTGAACCTTTTACTAAGATGTCAAGACTGAACCTTACAGTTTCTGCATGCAAAGCTTGTGAGTTACTGGTTCTTAAGTGGAAGTCTCCACCTACTACTTTTGCACAGGTGCTCTGTATTACCTTCTCCCTACCCTCGAGTCCTGTGTTTCTTGCACTTGCTGCCAAGCACACAAGGAGCTGAACTATTGCACTATTGGAAGATGTAGAATTCTTGATAACATCTACTTACAAGTCTTGGAAATATCATAATATTTAACTATTAAAGTATACCTTTAGTTCAGGGATAGGAAATCTGTGGCCTGTACTTATGCAGAAACACCCCAGCAGCATAATCCAATGCCAGAAATGAAGAGAACTCAACATCTGCTGGAGTGTAAGCACTTCACTTAAAGAGGGAGGACCTAACAACAGCAGCTTCTTTTTTCTAAGATGGCATCTTCATGTAATGCTGTCCTTAGCTGGTAGGCTTTGAGTTTTGAATGAGGAAATGGGAAGTTGCCTAGATGATTTGGAGGAAGGGTGTCTGACTGGAGAAAGATTGCTTGTATGAGGATGTCTGGTTGGAATCACATAATTGCATGATGGGCTCTTGGAAAGCAAAGGAGTTTGGAAGAGGCCTGGAAGCCTGGCATATCTCAATTCACGTACCGTTGCATGAAGTTGTGGTAATTGGTTACTGAAAAAGTGTCTTGGACCATTATGTTGTGTGAACATGTCCTTGGCTGTCCCTTTTTGTAGGTCTATGCATTACAGACCTGCAATAGGCAGATTCCTATATATTAATTTATAATTGGACCAATAATAGGGTTTTCTGGATAGATTAATCTTTACTGTTCTTCAAACCTAGAATTCTGGCTTCTCAGTCCCCCATGCTAAGTTGAAGTTTGGGAATTCTTGCAGAACTTCTATCCAGCCTCAGACGGTGAGGGGGAATATGATGGGTATGGAGGCCCCTCAAGACAAGCAGCCTTAGAAATTCTTACAGCTTGGCAGAACTACTGTGTTAACCAGCTGTAGCTTTTCATGTTGAGATGGATGTTTCAGGGTACCACATGACAACTACAGGGAAACCCCACCCACTTTCCCTTGAATTGCACTACTTTGGAAAACTTGTTCAACACAATAGATAGCAGTACTCCCACAATAATTCCTTGAAGGCATAGATTGCTGTCGTGGCTGCAAATCTATAAACTATATTATGGTGGGTGGGAGGGGGGAGTTGCCAGATCGCTCTCCCAGTGTCCTGTAAGGTTATAAAGAGCTACTGCTAAAATTGTGTCTTGCATTAGAAACAAAACTTTTGTGGAAAGATAGGCCTCCTTTTAGGATAATTATTCCTGTACTATCAGAAACATTTATTTCTGTGTTTACAATGAAACCTCATTTTACCAGATCTTGATGCAATAGACTTTGCACTTTCCACGGAGATTTATGTTGCCATGATGCAAATGGTGTAAATCCTCTGCCATGCCTTACTCTGGAATTCAGTGCCTACTCTTGGATTCCTCAGTAATGGACTCCCTCTCCCCCCAGTTGGTCTGTTAACATGAGGTCTCACTTGCAGATTCACTTCTTTGCATTTAAATCCATAGAAACTTTCATAAATGAGATCCTGCAGGAAATAAAATTAACTACAAAGTTTTCCACTGACTAGAACAATAGCGGCGCATTCCCAGGACAGTACTGCACATGACAAGATCAGGTGCAAGAACATGAAATTTGGCAGTTAAAAGTCTAGATATCTAGATCCACAGAGGATTTGTATCTGGGTTGAAAAATACTTTTTGTGAGCACATTCCCTAACTGAAAAGAGTCCATATGTGCAAATAAGTGCTGCTCCTGCAGATTCCCCCCCCCCCCCCCATGATCATACTGATCATAGAACTTTCTATCTGCAACCCCAGGTCTTGTGCAAGTGTACAGCTGGATCACGCCCAGAGTAACTTTTTTAAAGGTTCAGACACAGAACAGTTCATTCTCCTAGTATGGATATGAGAAAAATGAAAATGTGCATCAGTTGAATGCAGTTCTTGAAGTAATTGCATTTTTATGTAAGTTTCCTAGTCAAAATTATGTATCTGCCAAGATTAATATTAATGAAGTGCAGCAGAGATGAAGTTGGAAAATAGCTGGAGATCTGTTGTGTTACTCACTGTCTATATTCTCTTGTTTTCAGTATCTGACCAGAAGAACATATATCCATACCAGGGTTCCTGCAATTAGTTGAAATGTTCTGTTTTATCAATATGTCCTTAGTGTGTTTTCTGTAAAACATTAACCCTTTGAATAATAATTCCCCCAATAGAAAATCTTGGCTAGGATGGTCAAAAAATGGCATTGATTGTATTTCCTTTGAAGAAAACCAAGATAATCAGAATTAATTCTTGGAGACTTAACACTTGGTCAATACTGATTTCTTAGACATAACAATCTTGCAGTTGGCAAAAACAGGTCTAAATCCCTTGAACACAATAATGCAAAACTTCCAGAATTTGTTACAATTTCCTCATACTTTTGAACCTGGGAATAATGACTTCATGTTTACAACTTAAGTCAGTTATAAGGACCCTCAGAATTGGGCATTATTATGTGAATAAGGAAAGTGGATATAAGCACCATGTTTGTTGCAAGTGTGATTATTTTATTATAATTAGGCAACTCGTGAATTCTCAGCACTTTTTAAATACCATGCAGTCAACTTTCAGAGTCATCTTGAAAAGGGATTGCATGGTTCGGTGGGCCACCCGCCTCTACCCATGTCTAAAGTCTAATTTTTCGGTGGTGGAGTATGCTTTTCTGTAACACAAATGGCAGAGGTTCTTACCCTGTCTTCAGAAAATCCAGATTCTCTGTAACTCTGGTTTTGTTGTGGGTGAGGAGATTTTATATCTTAATGAACAGAGTAACAAAATATGATGGGAAGAAAACACAAAATTATGTAACCAGAAGAAAACTTGTGTTTGTATTTTCTGCAGTGAGATTTCAGTTGAATAATGAAGAACAAATAGAACGAGTCAAACCAAAAAAAGAGGTATGTATGACATTCTGCAATATATTTATTCAGGACCTGAAAACACTATTTCCCCTAACTTTCCAGAATCCCTCATTTTGCACTCTTATAAAATTGACATTTTCTCCTGTCTTTTTGGATGTTTGCAAAAAAATTTTTTTAAAAAAAAACTTAAAATGTTTGCACAATTAATTGCGCATATTCTTTAGAGAAAAAACTCCCACCAACCTGGGCTCATTAATGAATAGCCTGTAGATCATATGAGAGAGGGAAGCCAGTTCCTACAATACTGAATACTGAATGACAAGGAAGAGGGTGGAATAAAATGTTACGAACAGTGACAAACTTCTATTCAAGTTGTAGGCTATCTTTTGTATTGTAAATACAAAACCAAAATACAAAGTCTATCTTTTAGCAACAAATACAAAGTAAGGGAGTAAGAGAAATATTCAGGTTGTAGTTGCTTGAGGGCAGAGGATTGGGGGAGGAGAGATTAGATAATTAAAAACAACTTTGGGGACAAGGTACTTAACCTTTCCTTCTACACTATTTTCCCAATCAGAATCTGCCCCCCTTCTCGCCCCCCACCTCTTACCAGCCCAGCTGGAAGAAAGATTAAACTGTGCTCTATTATAAAGGCTCTTTCCATCTTCTTTATAGTCCCATTATATTGGAGATGGTCCAGACTTTCAGCATTCGCTTTTCAACCTTGGTGGTCAAAGTCCACTGGTCTCCTATTATCTTCACATGCGTGGAATCCCTAATACTTTAGCAAACTCCCGGGGTTACAGGATCAATCATACTGAAATCTGCAAAGTACCATATCCTTTTTTTTAACGAAGAAGTTTATTACTTGAGATAGCTTTACAGTTTCTGAAACCTACAGTAGAATAGTTTATTTCCATAAAAAAAAACCCAGCAACTTGGTGGGCAAAGGGTTGGGAAAGACAGAAGTGAAATCTGGACTTTTGGGAATTTGGTTTTCTTTTTTGTGATGGGTCAAATTAAGAAACTTGGATGTTTTGGAATTTTTTTTCCCCTCTGAGCTCAGCAGTGTTTCAGAAGTGATCTGTTTTGGAGGAAAGAGCTAAACAACTATGTAGAGGGGTTGCTGTATACATCTTCCCTCATCTATGCTCTCCTTTTTTAATAAGAAAAGGACAAAATAACATGCATATTTTATTTTATATATATACAGGACAGATATATAACAAAAAATTAAATTTAAGGCATGCCATAATAACTGTATACACTCATCATACTAAGCCATGGTCTGTTTAACCATTGTTTACTGAAGAAACCATAAAAGCAGAGAACACTAAGCCAAAACTGAACAAGATCATAACAGAACAGCATCGACTTAGTCACTGAGTAAAATTGTGGCACATATCTAGAAGCTAGACAGTTTAACTACGGTCAGATATTATGGCAGAATATGACTCTGAAAGCTGGATTGAGCATCTCAAAATCGAGTCTGACACAATAATCTCCTGATTTAGTTCTAGGTTCCAGATAGCCATCTGATCTTTGGGTCACTTTCAGGAGGAGAGACAATACGCTTGACAGGCATCTTGTTCCAAAGGAATGATCTTTAATGTGCAGTCATGTGCACAGGACCAATTAGATGCCAGGTTTCCATGACAGATCTCAGATTCTTCAGTGGATGAGTCAGTCTGGAATGCATTTCCAAAAAGAAACTTTGAAAATCATTGATACAAATCCTCTGGCAGGATTCCAATACTAAGTTAGCCAACGAGCAGAAGGTTTACAAATCTATAAGAAGAATATTTTTCTGTTGTCAGACAATCCGATTCCATTCTACATCTGGGTCAACAATCTGATCCTGGGAACATGAAATTTTGGGATCTAAACTTGGAAATGAATTGTAGTTGGAACCTCTCTGTTATGACCTAGTCAACTTAGGAGACAACTATGTCTTGACTATAAAGTCACACTTCTTGCCGTATTCAGATTACTTTAAAATGAAATTTGTAATCATTATGTTGGCTCCCTCTATTAAACTGAGAAATGTTTGAGGAAATGTGGATAATTTTAAGTCATTTTATTTTGTCCTACACACATAATCATTTCCAGCAGGTTGTTCTGGCAGAATGATCTATTCCCAATAAAGATTAACGAGTCAATTCTCTCAAGCATTTTTCAGGAGAATTCTTATCACTCTGCTCTCTTCCATATCAAATTGATTCCAAGCAATGGGGTAATCTTTCAGTGAAGTACATAAATCAGCATCGAACAACCTTTTCAGGCCAAGGGCTCACTCAGCCTTTTGGAGACATGTTGGAGACATGTTCCCAAAAAAGGGTGGAGCCAGAATAGAAATTAAATTTGATTTAATTTAAATTAAATTAATAGGATTACTCATGTATTTAAGAATGTTTGCCTTATATTACATTAAATATTACAGTTTAGGAGCAACTTTTTGGAGGTCTCCAAAGCACTAGAGGAAAGGCACACATGTTCTGTTTCCCCATTCTTTCCAGAACATTTAATTCTGGATCAAATCTTCATTACAGCCATAAGGCCAGCAGTCAGGACATAATAAAAGGAGTAACAATGGAGATGTATAAAACTAAAAAGAAAGAAAATTAATACAGATTTTCCAAACCCAAGGAAAGACAGATATTTATCTGAACAGTGGTCATACAGGAGAAGGAGCAGGTAAACGTCATGATCTGTGCCAGGATTTTTTTTCAAAATAAGATGAATAAAAGTTTTCCAGGGTTCACTGTAGAGACAACAATGAAGGAAAATGGGGCTCAAGGACTCCACTGAGCTGTCGCCACAAGGACATATGTACTGGGTAGTTGTTACTTGTTTCTTCTCCATTATTAATTGTACCAATTTTTAAAAAAAGTTTTCATTCTTAGCATTTTAAAAACTGTCTAATACTTTTTATACACATTTAAAATATTTCTGGGGAGAGACGGTTATAGAGGGAGGGATAGCCAGATGTTACAAACAAGAAATGAATGAATATGTACATTCTGCTAAACAAAAGATAGAATTACTATTTTTTGCACAGGCTGAAAAAAAATTCCCAAGATGGAACCAACCATTCGTGGTTTCCTTCTCTGTATCTCTATATAGCTCTCATCCTCTTTCACACACACACGTACACACGCATTCTTTCTCTCTTTCTGGTATCTGCTAAAAGTTCAGGAGTGTCCACCGACGGTTTAAGAATGTCAAGATAGCATCTGCAGCCATGTGATCAAAGCCCGGTCCCTTTTTTATGTGTAAAAAAAAGTTGGAGCTTAACTCACAGCCACCGTCTTGACATTTTTTTTTACTGCCCCACAGACCCCCTTGTAAAAGTTATTCTGTGATCAAACTCAGTTATGTTTTTTTCAGCACTCTACATCTCCTCAATTTCAATTAGAATTAGACAATTTTTGATGAATATCTGGAATAGCAAGTCGTCTCTGCCAACCCCTATTGTTTACAACTGTGGATTTGCTTTGCTTGCATTTTCATGATTGTTGAAAGGCACTTCTGGTTTTCTTTTTCCCTTTTGGCGAGCTTTCAGTTATCTTTCCTCCTTTTTCCAAATTCTAGAGAATAGCAATGCATAGGTAGAGTCTAACAAAAAGAAGAGGATGTAGAAGAGGGTGCATTGCAGGTTGGTTTCTGGAAAGATATGAAAAAAAAATCATGATATCTCTGTCTTTTCTCCTCTTATAACTGTGTGAATACATCATTGCTTTCAGGAGGCTTGTGTTCTGAAACTTCTCTCACTTCCATCCAAAATGATTGCCAATACTTTCTGGCCGAATTAAGCTGAAATACATTTTTTGGAACAGAACAACTAAAGTTACACATTTCTCCACATTTTTTCTTCAAGTTTAAACTCTTCAATCTGCCAGTAGCCATCTTCATATGACAATATCTCCATCAGAATCCCACTTCTAATTGGTACTGGCTTTTAAAAACAAACTTATCCACATATGCACAGTGCATGCATCTGTGCATGCACACCCACACATCTTTGGAAAAATGTTTTATTAATCTGAGAAAAATGTTATTTTCTGATTGCAATGCAGTTAGGTCTTGGGGGAAGGGGGATAAAAGAGAAGAGAGAATGGAACAGACTGCTGGTGTTTGGAACAGGGGCTATGCCCACTATTTCTTGTGGCCCAAAGTCAGTGGTACCAGGTAGAGTAGATGCCAGTTATAGAGAAGCTTCCTGGGCTGTGGTAGAGGCAAGAGAGGAGAATGGAGAGAGATGGCGAGAGCACAGGGTGCCCATATGCTCTGGTTGAAAGGCTTCCCAATTTAAAGAACTAGAGGGTTTTATGTTGGTACCAGGCCATGTTGTTTCTCAAGATTTCAATTCTAGCAATTACAATGATAGACATTTAACATGGACAAAGTCTATGTTATTTAAATTAAGCAACAACTAGTTTTGACAAGAATTGGTCAAACTAGCCCTTCAACATAAGAAATATCAGAGAAGTTAATAATCAGGGCTTACCATCATGGCTTTTAAAAAGCTGTATTATTTTGGCAAATATTAAAAAAAAAAAAAACATAGTCGTAAGAAAACCAGTAAGATAGAGAATCTCCCAGCATTGCAATGCCACGAACAACTAAAATTTCAAACATCTCATCACTCTGATAAAACAAATTCAGGAATCTGCTGTAAGTGTTAAAAGTTAGGCTCTTGAGAAATGCGGTGGTTTTGGAATCAGACTGATAGGAAAAAAAAATCTTCCATATAAAGAATTCCACTTGAGCTAGATGTATTTCTTGATCATAAAATACTAGGAAATTTGGCCCTGGTAACTTAACTCAGAGAACTGAAGACACTACTTGATGTCACCAACTCTGGGGCAGAAGGAACAATGGAGGACTGTTGTTTCTATTCTTTTTTTTGTAGGAATACTGTAGAAAAAGAAGTATTGGTGTCTGTATGCTATGGAATATAGAGAGATTAGGGCACTGGGAGGTAGAAAGAGAGTAAAAGGACCTGAACAAAGAGAGGCATAGAGTTATGCAGATTTTTAAATACCTTGAAGAGCTTGTTATGAAACTAGGTTGTTTTTTGCATGATTATTTAGGAAGAACTTGGCCCCTGTCTGGCAGGAAGCCCTGGGGACTGTATAGAAGTATCTTCTGCAAGATTTGGTCTTAGGATTTTCATAACTTCCTGTTATGAGAATTTTGCAGGAGAAATCCTACATAAATTGAGCACTTTATGCTCATACACCATTGCTGTCTCAGTTCTTTCAGTGAGGTTTGCTGAAGAGGACACTGTGCTAGATTGGGCCTTAGAAAAAATGTTGAAGGGGAAGTAAACTTTCTTTTTCAAGTAAGATTACGAGGAACTTTTCCAGCCTGAGTTCAGGCTTGATTTTGGGTCAGCCCATTACATTTTGAGATAGAGTTCCAGGGTGGCATTCAGTGCCATGGACCATGCTGTCATTCTGCAACGCTTAGCTGATACAGGAGGAGGGTACACCATTCATCGATATTTCTGGTGACATTTGTTATTACCTCCATTTCAAAAGACAGTATAAGACTTTGTTGAAGTCACCTGAATGATAAGACAATAGTTCCACATTCAGAGCCTTTTTTTCCAGAGCTGATTCTGGAAGATCAGGTGTGGTCCCTCAATCAACTCGGCTTTAGTGGGGGTTGGAAAATGGCTGTGACTTCCTGCTGTTGTCCTGAGAGGGGAGCACTAATAGCTTACTTGGAGCTATCCAAGGTACCGTTTCCTCTTCACCAAAGGACCTGAATTGATTTAGCTTGCCATATCAGTTGCTCTCCAGCAAGAGCCAGTGTCTTGACTTTCCCAACAAAATGCAGGCAACCGTGAAATGGGAAAATATTTGGCGAAACCTTACTTGGCCATTTGGTTTCCTACACTTTTAAATAGCTTTGCATGAAACCATAAGGGGAAGTACTGCAGAGTTAGGGCATTGATGACACCCAGCTTTCACTGGTGCCAAGGAAGCTTCTAAAGAGCCTGGAATCATTGAGAAATTAGATAGGAATGAACAAACAAGATATGATTCCATACTGAGAAGAAGGAGGTCTTGGTCAGAAGTCAAGTCAAATTGCAAATTAGAATGCAGTCAATTTTGGGTGGAATTCCATTCCTTTGAAGGGCCAGCTTGTAGATTAGAAAGGTTTCACTTATTCCTGGAAGAACGAGGGATGTCTGTCTGCAGGAGGGTGACCATTGGATCAGATGTGCCGCTTCCTGAGGAGGAAGAATTTGGTCTCAGAACTGTGCTTTAGTTGCCTGACATTTAGATTCCTAAAATGTTGCATGTGGAACTGCCCTTTAAAAAGTCTGCAGAATCTACTGTTTGGGTTTTTTATTTGTTTCTTTAATGAACTAACAACATAAAAGGAAAAAAAACCCCCGCAGTTAAAAAAATAAACCAGGGACAAAAACAAAAGCCTAAATTTGAAAAGGAATAAAACATGTTTTTTTTTTCCTAAATAAAAAGGGAGCAACTTACTATTTGTGAGATCTTAAGAGTTATTTTAAAGATCCATCTTCAATATTTTTACCAAGCTTGACATTCGTACAGAAAAAGGTAATCTATTCGGAAAAAACATTGTTAATATAGTTAATATAGTATAGTGCCTTTAATAAATTTATCCTTCATTGTAGGGCTTTTTCCAAAGCTTTTTGTTACTGTGTTAATTTTTGAGCCAGAACAGTTTCCCACACTTTTACATGCCATGAGTCAATGAAAGATACATTCTAGTAGTAACTGCAGCTAATGCAAAACTTTGATGCCCAGATTATTTTCTAGCACATGGTACCAACCATATGCAGTGGGCTTGAATCATCCACACTAGCTTTCAATTTGTTTTTGAAACCTAAGTCATTTATCTTAGTACCGTAGATATATTAAAAGATGAACCATTCTTATTGTTAGACTCTCAGTCTTATACAAGGTACAAGCAAAGGGGAAGGAAACAGAAATCAAACCTGGGGCACCTGCCGTATGCTCCCCCCACAGCTGTACTCTTCCTTGGGAAAAAGGGGTATCACTTGATGCGGGCTTTGGTCTTCTAGCCAGTGTGCCATTAGCTTTGCAACTCTGCTCACCTTAGGATGTCTCCTTGACTTGCTGAAAAAGATGCATCTGTCCTCTGGGAGCAGAATAGTGCCAGATACAAGGGCATGTACAGTAGCTGCTTTAGGCCATTGACCATAAAGGTTTTCCCTTGACCGGAACAACAGCACACCACTTTCTCCAACTTATACTGATTTTATTAAGAACAGTAAAAAGACATCAAGAAAACTGCTCAGTGATTTTATTAAGTAGGTATTGACCTGGGGACTTCAAGTGAGGGCATGGGACAAAATTAGATCCATACCAGCCTGCAAAAAATTGCATTGATTTTGCATTGCCTTACCAGTTGTTTCCACTATCTGTTCTCTGCTTTTTTTGTTCGTAACCTAATGTACGTTGGTTGCGTATGTATGTTGTAATACTGCAGCTCCTCTAGGACTTGCAAAATAGTAGACCCAATGCATTTCAAATCAAATCAGTTTATTATAGCCATAAGGCCAGATGCTTTTCTGTATTCACTGTGGTGAATTTTAAAAAGGAAAAATCAAGGAAATCTAGATCAAGTATCCATCAGTTCTGGAGGAGCAGTAAACTTGGATTAAAAACTTCCAGAATCCAGGTACTTTGGTCACTCTTGGCAACTTAAGTTCATTGTTGAATAATATCTAACAGAAGTCTGATGCAATACTCTGAGCTGATTGTCTTCCAGAGAAAGCTGTTAATGGCACTCTTTCTGACTTACCCTAGAACAAATGATTTGCAGAATGCTGGTCTTCCAAACTTGTATGTAGCATTTGTATTTTTGCTCCTCTAAAAGGAAAGTTCATTGAGAGAAAAGCAGTATCACTGAAAAAGTGTTCTAGACATTTCCAGTATGTCACCTGATGAGTTTTGTTTTCTAGATTTGAACACAAGTGTCATCAAGAACTAGCACAGTTACAAGAAAAGAGAGAAAAGGGTAACAGGAGATACAGGAGGTTTGGTTTTCAACTATTTGTATAAATAAAATATTAAGAATCCTTTAAAATTAATAACCCTTTAAAAATCATCATGCCCTTCAAAATGTATGACATCTGGTGGTATTTATCAACTAAAGTTAGTAATTTTAAAAAGTGTAAAAATGTTGCAGAGGAAAATTTAGACATTTTTAGAAGTGTTCTGAAAATCTCTCCAAAGTGAGGACTAGAGAATTTCATGCTCTTTCCTTGCTCATAATCTCCGATACCTTTATTTTTAGGGCAGCACTTTTCATAGGATCATTTATTTCCAAGGATCATTTATCATCAGTTCTCAAAGTGTGCTCTGGGGACCCCTGGGGATCCCCGGGATCCTTTCAGGGTGTCTGCAAGCTCAAATAAATAAATAAATAAAATATTTTAACATTTCTCAGTTTTAATTTCTAAAACAGTACATATTGGTAGATATCAACCACATAAAGCAAAGCTTTTGGGGGTCTTCAATCTTTTTTAAGACTGTAAAAGGGTCCTGAGACCAAAATGTTTGAGAACCGCTGATTTAGACTGTTATATACAAACAATCCCTCTGCCAGAGCACTTTAGATGGTTTGTAATTTAAAACAAAGGCTAAACATTTATTTATACGTTTATAATTAACTTACTAAGATTGCAGTTTTATGGTTTCTGGGATCAACGTCAGGGTCAAGACCCATACCATTCTCTAGTCTTTCACAGGCTGAGAGACCATGAGTGGCATGGCCATGTAAGCAGTTTTGGGGACAGGAGGAGCCATTGTCAAGTGTCCCCAGCTGGGCCAGGGTGGGTTTTCATTTCTCCTTCAGAAACAGCCAGCAGAATGGCAGTTGAACAGTCTTCTGTAGGGTGCAAATGTTTGTGAAGGAAGACACAAGCTCCGCACCAATTTCTCTCACCCATTCCTTTTCAAAAACATGATTTTAAAAGATGGATATATTCCTAAATGAATGTTTAACTTCAGATGATGGCGAATCCAGTTTTTTTCTGGGCATATTGAAAATTGTTTATGAATAACAGCATACTTGTATCTTGATTTTAAGCCTTCAAAGAAACATTTTGTGCAAAGACAGACATATATCGATAGTTTTGTAAGTGATCACAGGTCACTTAGGAACAAACTTCTTGTACTGGTCTAAGACTGTAGTAAACTGTATCAGACATATATCTGGGACACAGTTATCATGTTCACATGGCCAGGAGGCCACATACTTTCATCACTTTGCCCAGCCTGCTAGAAATTTAATGAAATGTCACATTAACTTGGTTATATCAGGAGAAATGTGGTGTAAGCTGCACAAGGGCAGCAGTAAATAAAGTGGGGGCTTTTTCTTGGAACATGCTGTGTTCTGTATTTTTTGCTTAGAATGCTTGCAACCGTCACCAAGAAACCTACTGAAGGAAGGCTGAAAACAGAACACTTTCTCCTCCAAATGGTAACCCAGTTTTTATATCACTATCTTCGGTAGTTAAATAAATCTTGTGGCCAATTTAAGAAATGGAGAATGTGCTGGAGTGCATATATAATTTTTATTTATTTTAAATTGGCCAAAAAAACCCATCAGTTTTGTATAATGTTAATTGTACATTCAAGTAGGTTTAAATCCTCATTCAGCAACAGATGCTGGAATGAAGTTGAACAGAAGTCTCTGTTGTTTATTTGGCAAAAAGTTAAACCCACTGAGGGCCTCTCAAAAGTCTTGATCTGCTTATGGAGGATGTAGCACTGTCCTTTGAAACATTATTGTAGTAGAACTGCTGAGGGACGCAGGAAGTCATCTTGCCTTTTCATTCCATCAGTAACATTTGCAGCACCTCAAGTTCTACGTGTCCCATTTACTGGGTTGGCAGCTGTTGTTATCCTGCAAGAAACACAGCTAGCAAGATCCCCACCCAGAAGTAGTTAGGTTTATCTGACTCCTAAACTGTATCTGTCTCCTAAACTGTCTCCTCCTGTGTGTTTGAAATTACCAACACAATATACAATTTTGACTCAAGATTAAGAAAGGTGGAAAGTGGCTTTTTCCTTGGGTTCAAAACCTGTAGGTTCTAAACAACATCTGTAGGGGTGTTTGTTTCTGCAGGAAAGCCTCCTCCCCCACCCACCGGAAAGATTTGAGATAGTAAAATAAAATGAGATGTGCCAGAAAAATCTTGCTGCTTCTTACTCCAGCATCTAGCTGGCTTTATTCCCCTTTTAAGAAAAGAACTAACTTCTGGAGATGGTACATTGGGTATTGAGTTTAGAATGCTGTATTGCATTCCATTGTCATGCAGCTTCCCTGTAGCTTCTGAATGCCTTGTGTGGGGTGGAGGTGGGGGGTGGAGAAGGAAAGTGGTTACAGTGCCACAACATGCAAAATCCCACCCAAAGTCCACAGGTCTCACCTTACGTGCTGTTACTTTTCTGTAGCTGATGCAGTGATTCATTCAGGATATTTTCTTTGAATAGGCAAATACCAAGTTAAACCGTCATGGATCTTCTGGAACGGAATCAGCAGGCAAAGACGTCTAACGTCAAGATACGTGTAGTGAAAGATAGTGGAATTTTCCCGTCCATTGAATTAAGCATACCAACAAATTTGGTATGAAATAGGCTTTTATCTTTCAGATCAATAAAGAATGAAACAGTCACTGGAGTTTTTCTCCCTTTAATTCCAATCTGGTTCATTTCAATACTTTTAATGAATACATTTTGGCAAATCATGTTTTATATTGTAAAGTCCAGACAAAAATCAACATTTTGGATGGTCTTTGTTGGAAGCATATTTTAAGAAAGAAAAATGCACTAGAAAGATTAATAGAGCTTTTGAAAAAAAAAGTTTGGAAATCCATCCTAATAATAGCCATTGCTAGTGCTCATTATAATATAATAAAAAACAGCAAAGTGACTTGTTTACTGTGACATACAAAGTCCTCCCAGTTTGCCCCAAATTATTCCTCCTTAAAATTAGGCGTCCTTTAGGCTTCAAGGAAAATCATAGCTCCTCCGCCAGGGTTGGTAGCAAACAGGCTGTTTTCTTCCAGGGCTAACCTTTGGCCATAATTTCTGTAGTAAGCCTCCTTCACATTTGCTAGGAATCTCTCCAGTTTGTCCACAGGAACCATTGACACAGTGCAGCCACCCCATCCTGCCCCAGTCAGGCGTGACCCAACTGCTCCAAACTGCCTAGAAGAACAAAAACAAGTAAACAGATTTTGAAGCCATAAATCAAGTGAGAACGTGTCTTACATGCAGTGACTCTACTGTTAAATGCTGGACATTGGCGGGCTAGATTTGTTCTGATTTTCAAAAGAACATGGACAACCATGATAGGCAGCTAAAAGTCAGGAGGAAGGAAGGCTGCAACCCAGTTCTGAACAGCTTGCGTGTTTAGCCTCCTAGTATAATCTAATCTGAACTACGGATTTACTATGAACTTCATAGTTTAAATTCATCAGTGCCTGCCAGGCAGGATGACTATATAATATCACTAAGCCTCTCTACACTAGCTAATATGAGACTGAATAGTAGGGTAACATTATGCCTATGCCCTGAATTGGTTTCCCATAGGCATATGATTAGCTACTGTGGACAGTCCAGATTAGATAGGCCCTTAATCTAATCCCTCATCTGATACTTTCATGTACCTACCTCTCCACCAGACAAGGCAACACAGAATTGGCTTTTTAATTTCCTCCCTCACGTGAATGGCAACACTAGCTGCTGATGAATTCTGGTTCACTCTTGTTAAGTGTTAACAAGTGATCTTGTTAAAATCACTTGTTAAGATCAGTCACACCATAATAGGACTGCTGTTCAGATTTAGAATAAATGTGCATTGATTTGTTTGTAGTTTAGAAGACATAACAGCCCAATTTTGCTGTACTTTTAGGTGTTTCATAAAATTTAGTTGCTGACCAGTTGCTTGAATATTTGCCTCTGTACAGATGGCCATGTTTGCAATAAGTTCTTCAGATCTTATTTTAATAATGTTTTGGTTTCTAATTATCATTTTCAAATTCATGCAGCTTGGCTTAGATTCTGAAGCATGATCTTATGGAGACACAGCAAGATAAAAGTGTAGTCTGTCACCAGCATTCACTAGTAAAAATCCTTTATTTCAAAGGTTCTCAAATTCTGCAGTACTGTAATCCCCTAAAAAGATAAACGGATTTATGTGGGACACTTGCTGTGAGTGTTGGACAACGGAAGCCGGGCCCCTGTTAGAACTTGCCCTGGGCTATGCTTGGAGAAGGCAACTACTGGTTTGTCCAGGAAAAGCAGGACTACTGCCAGCAAACTACCATCTAGGCATAACTGCACACCATCTAGATATGCAGATTTTTCTTCCTATCTTCAAAGCTTGTAAGAACTGAACATCTGAGATGCATAAGCAATGCACCTGCATACTCTTTTGGAAATATTCTTTAAGTCTCAACATAGCAATTGGCAATGATTATGAATAAAAACCATTTCGGTATGCAGTTGCTGCCCATTATTGTTACTATATTAGATTTTATTTGTCAGCAAGCTTTCTGGATCAGTAACAGACAATAAAAAGCCAGGGGAGGAGGAGACCCTTCAATTATCAGCAGAACATGCCAGAATAAAATATGTATTTAAAACAACTAACTGCTGTGTAAGTTCAGGATAAAATGAAGAACAAGCAGTTGGATGGATGCAATGTAGCTCCTGTCATAAATCTCCTAAGCCAGATTTCAGTGGGAAGGTTGGAAGAAGAAAAAATCTGAGGCATTTTAGGCATATGTTGAATTTTGTCTGTCATGGTTTTTCTTATGAAGGCCAAAATTGAAATCACTCTTCTTTGAATGAAACCTTAACCCCACATTGTCATCCTGGTACTTCATTTATTTCCATTAGTTTCTCTATTGCTTAATTTTTATCTTGGAGCTAACCGAAAAATTGCAAATCATTTCAGAATTTCCCCTCAACCAAGGACCCACATGGGGCCTTGATATAGGGCAGCATTTCTTAACCTCAGCAACTTTAAGATATGTGGACTTAAATTCCCAAAATTCCCTAGCCAGCCAT